TCCTAACCGGTTTCTCTAGCGGTCTAGCCCTCACTGTCTTCTCATGGCGGTTCGGGGCTAAACTGTCCTCTCAAGCGGTCCCGGGGCTAACTAACCTCTCAAGCGGTCCCGGGGCTAACTTTATTTCCCCGCTTTCCCGCCTTTCTGGCGTACCCTCTCCATCACTTCTCTGTCACCTGTCTTTGGTGGTCACGTCTGGATGAACGTATCTCACAGTTCACGGGCACTCGTCGAATGTTTCATCCCTCACTGTCAGATGTCATGGCGGTGTGTTCTGCATAGCTGGCTAGGCCATGGCTTTCTAATCACCTATTTCTGTCATTTCACACAGTGATGGATTAGTACGCTGTGTGGTGGTCTGAAATGTATGCTTGTTCATTTAACCCCTTTTCTGCCTATATTTCGTTACACCATTGGCATAGACTGTTTAGGTTTTGATGACGGATCAACACCATAGCACAAGGGTAGTAACCCATGAGTGCTCAGTTCTACTTGTAACTCAAGCCTGAATCTAAAGAATCTCACAAATCTAGATTGTTGATGAAGTAATATGTTGAAACTGGTTTTGAAATAACCTTTCATGATATAGAAAACCACTTTCAGTTCTGTATAATGTGGTCTATGGAACATGAGCTTTTTAATGAATAAAATCAGGGATTTATCATTCCCCATTGCTCCAGGATTTATCACTCCCCATTGCTCAGGGATTTATCACTCCCCATTGCTCAGGGATTTATCACTCCCTATTGCTCCGGGATTTATCACTCCCCATTGCTCCGGGATTTATCACTCCTCATTGTTCCAGGATTTATCACTCCTCATTGCTCCAGGATTTATCACTCCCCATTGCTCCAGGATTTATCACTCCTCATTGCTTCGGGATTTATCACTCCCCATTGCTTCGGGATTTATCACTTCCCATTGCTCCGGGATTTATCACTCCCCATTGCTCAGGGATTTATCACTCCCCATTGCTGAAATAATTGCACTGGAAACAGCAGTATACCACCTAAAGACTGTAATGGATGTTTACCCCTCAAAGGTCCAAAATATTGTCATCTTTACAGATTCAATGTCTGCCCTTCAAGCTCTGGAGGGCAATGAACGCTGCAGAACTGACATAGCCAAGATAATCCTGGATGCCGATCAGCTTATTACCTCATACAACATCAGAATAGTGATGCAGTGGATTCCAGGTCACTCCGGCACACCAGGTAATGACAGAGCTGACAGATTGGCAAAGAAAGGAGCAACACAAGAACAACCACCTACAGCGACAACCCTCCAGACAGCAAAAACACTGATAAGAGCTATAAACAAAGAGACTTGGTTGAACAGATGGGCCATGGGAGACACTGGAAGAGAGGTTTATAGACATATGTCTGGCCCTGATCCTAATGACAGCATTAACCATCTAACAAGAAGGGACCAGGCCACCATCTTCAGACTTAGAACGCAACATACTCCACTCAATGGACACCTAAACAGAATACAGCCACAACACTCCCCAGAGTGCCAGCTATGTAACTACCCCTACGAAACTGTTGAACACCATCTCTTTGAATGCCCAAAACTCAGTGAGACAAGAAGAATGCTACTCCCTCCGAGACCAGACAAGTGGAACACCTTGTACGGAGGAAAAGAACAGCTTGTGAAAACATGCAAATTCCACTACATGGCATTGGGCCAAAGGGCGAAAGCTCATGCGCCGCTGGATCGATAACAACAACAACAACAACAATCACTCCCCATTGCTCAGGGATGTATCACTCCCCATTGCTTCGGGGTTTATCACTCCCCATTGCTCCGGGATTTATCACTCCCCATTGCTCCGGGATTTATCACTCCTAATTGCTCAGGGATTTATCACTCCCCATTGCTCAGGGATTTATCACTCCCCATTGCTCAGGGATTTATCACTCCTCATTGTTCCAGAATTTATCACTCCTCATTGCTCCAGGATTTATCACTCCCCATTGCTCCAGGATTTATCACTCCTCATTGCTTCGGGATTTATCACTCCCCATTGCTTCGGGATTTATCACTTCCCATTGCTCAGGGATTTATCACTCCCCATTGCTCAGGGATTTATCACTCCCCATTGCTCAGGGATGTATCACTCCCCATTGCTTCGGGGTTTATCACTCCCCATTGCTCCGGGATTTATCGCTCCCCATTGCTCCGGGATTTATCACTCCTCATTGCTTCGGGATTTATCACTTCCCATTGCTCAGGGATTTATCACTTCCCATTGCTCAGGGATTTATCACTCCCCATTGCTCCGGGATTTATCACTCCCCATTGCTTCGGGATTTATCACTCCCCATTGCTCCGGGATTTATCACTCCTCATTACTTCGGGATTTATCACTCCCCATTGCTCCGGGATTTATCACTCCTCATTGCTCCAGGATTTATCACTCCCCATTGCTCAGGGATTTATCACTCCCCATTGCTTCGGGATTTATCACTCCCCATTGCTCAGGGATTTA